TGACCATCCAATCAGACCTACTTTGGGCTGCGACGCTGTGAACGTCCGACATCTTCCTCCTTGAGATTTGGACAGCCTTAATTTGGAACACCTGCCAGTTTGTCCCGTTCAGCTGTGGCCTGTCTGAGAGCGCAGTTACATCGGTAATTGCACTCAGATCTGTCTCTTGTCATCATCGTGGTCTGAAAACACTGTGATACTCACCTGGAGGTTCAAAATAGAACTTCTCCAAACCAGTGCTTGATGTCATAGTGGCTGTGTCCATCTTTTATGTACAGTCTATAACATGGGTGGAGGAACTCTTGGGCTCGAGGGCCGGTGTCCTGCAGGTTTTAGATGTGTCCTTGATCCAACACAGCTAGTTTAAACGGCTAAATGACCTCGTCAACATGTCCTGAGGTTCTCCAGAGGCCTGGTAATGAACTAATCATGTGATTCAGGTGTGTTGACCCAGGGTGAGATCTAAAACCAGCAGGACACCGGCCCTCGAGGCCTGGAGTTCCCCAGCCCTGCTCTATAAGACTACCTTTTTGAAGCCTTTGTTATCGTCATCTTGGTATTTGAATAAAAGCTTAGAGCTGTCGAGTTATCAGCTCATGCTAGAAGCGGTTATCTCGGTGGATCTCTGTCTCATGACAAAGCATGAAACAGTCGCGTAAAAGTAATGTGTGCATAAACTGACATGTTTTACTTTCAGTATGCCACGAGTCTGCAGCACGTCTGTTTTCAAACCTCAGAGCTTTAAAAAACAAGGCAGCTGCTGCTGTAGGAGTTTGTAGCTGAATGATTAGAATATGTTGATGGTTTAAGTATTTATACACATTTATGTGTTTTGATTAGTTTATTTTTATTTAGCTTGTTATTTAGTCTTATTTTTCTTTTGGTTGTTTAGTTATTTTTGAGAAAGTAGAGATGTACAGGACCAACATGCACTAAAGAATCCTTTTTTTTTATAGCAGAACAAAGGATGAAATAAACCATAAATTCCACTGATTTTATTTGAGTTCTTTTTCCTGCATACATTATTTGCTCATCGTGCATCAGTGTCCTTTTAAATGGTGGTTTTTCAGTTTGAATGTGAGCAAAAGCCACTACAGTTGTACAGTGTTGGTGCCAAACACTGAATGAAAATTAAATAAATCTGTGAACGAGAATCATAAACTGTGAAAGTAAGTGCATCTGTGTGGGACAGTGCATCTGTTCCTACAGCTCAAATAATTGTTTTTCCAGAGATTCTTCTTGAAAGTTTAACACTTGGAAGCTTGATTTAGGCAATGGTTTCAAATGTGATCTTTAACTTGAAAAGATTTCAGCAGCTGACGATTCAAAGATGATTTTAGAGGTGGTTGCAGTGACGACAATTCACCACAAGATGTCAGTAAAAGTTCATTTGTGGGAAATCTCCTGAGATGAAGCTGTTTATTTTCCACACTGCAATCGGTTATTTGTTTGCTCAGACTACTTTCACCCCAATAATTCATCACGGCACCCTGCAGCTCCGAGGCTGCCCGGTGGGTGATATCTCAGCTCAGCAGTCTCTCCTCTCTCAGGCTGGAAAACAGATCGCTGTAATATCTGCCCGCCAGCTGTTGCCCGCTCTGTTTGCTGCATGCGCTTCATCACCGCACTTATGAGACGCAGCTCTCTGAGGGAGTATTACGGTCAGTGGAAACTGATGTTCCTGATATTTACCTGACATTTCACACAGAGCCAGGAGACTCCGGGAGCTGATCTGCTGAAGCCCGGTGCTGAAACATGTTGCTGAAAATCCAACTTCTTCTCTGTCAGGAGAAACTTCTTTAAAAATACATGAAGCTTTCATAAATTCTTAAATGCTGTAAACAGGATCTGTGGGCCAATCAAATGTTAAACCTTCTTTGTAAATATTTTCTGATGATCTGAATCAATGATGTTTTATTTCCCATAAATACTTAATACTCACATATTAATTATTTAAAAGAGACGACTCGTATTGCATATAATAAACCCCATTAAATGATGCAAATAAACATTTGTTACTCCATCTCAGTCCTTTATCCATCCATCCACTTTCTCTTATTTTCTCTTATCCTGACCCACCTGAGCAAGAATTCCCAGACCTACCTTTTCTCAGCCACCTTCTCCAACTTATCCGAGGGAACACCGAGGCGTTCCCAGGCCAGCTGAGAGATGTAATCTCTTCAGCATGTCCTGGGTGTGCCTCGGGGCCTCCTCTCAGTGG